TAACAAGGGGAAAAACCGACGGAAGCATTTCGCCAAATACTTTTGTTCCTGATAAAGTCACATCCAAATTTATAAATTTGCGTCAGATAGAAGAATCACGATACGAGCTCGTTGATGTATAGTAGGTGCACTATAACGGTTGAGGTCACTTGAAACACTTTATGTGAGAAGCCTTGAGGATGCGAAACTCAGTGTGGTCAATGCGAGACACTGCGTCCTTTATCCTGACTAACCCTAGTCCTTTCTTGTCGACTGCTTCTTTTAGCTCAGCTAACGTTTTCGAATTAGTTGACTTTTAATGGATAGCAGAGAAAAGGTGCAACTTTCGGGGTGAAAACGACTCCTGGGCTGGGCTACCCTGCCTTGGCCACGACAACTTCCGCCTAATGTTGCTGCACAGGACTCACCCATTGATTTTAATACATATTCATTTGAAGAAAGATTAGCTTCCACTGCACGTAAGAAGCAAATACTAAGTGGGAAGCTCAAAGATGCGACGGTGCAATGATCACAAACAGTGCATCTTTGAACCACCCACACAAATTTCACCTAAATTTGATCAACCGAAAAACCAATCCCGTGTGGAGTAACAACTTATCGCAAGTAAATGATACCTTACTTTCTTTATTTCACTACAAAATATAATGACATAGCAGTCATTCGATTGAGGTGTCGAAATTCACTGATCATAGTTAGGCTTGTTTTACATGAAATGAGATCGGACTTACAGTACTGCCAATTCCTATTAAGCCACAAATAGAGATTGCCAACGGCCAGCTCAAAGAAATCAATGTTTCATACCACAATTCACTGACCATAGTTAGGCTTGTTTTATATGAAATGAGATCGGACTTACAGTACTGCCAATTCCTATTAAGCCACAAATAGAGATTGTCAACGGCCAGCTCAAAGAAATCAATGTTTCATACCACAATGACTCACACCCACATCAGCACAGATGTGTGCAAAGAAAACAGTTTAAACTAATGGGTAAGAGCACTAAATCAATGTATATATTAGGTATTTAATGAAGGGTAACACGAGTTAATTGAGTTTTGGCGAAAACGGCGTGTCAAATGAATTCCCAGTCACGGTTACGCCACGTGGGGCATGGTAGGGTCTTGCAATTACCAATTTATGTGCCGTCTCCTGTTTATGCGTTCACGCGTCACCAGCTTTAGAAGGTGCACAAATATTTGACACTCGCGCGTCCTGATTTGTATACCATGCATAGCACGTCCTCGAATAGGGTAGGTGTACTCGAAGAACGACTTACTGACACGAAGTCACTGGTCGGCTACAAAATTTGCCTCCTATGACAACGGTACACCACAAACACCATTTGTCTTTATCACGACGACAGCCACCGAGATCGTTCGCAATTTGCAAGATTTTGACACGAAACACATGGATACCGAAGATGAACTTGCAAATATCTGGACGTTATTAAAGGAAAAAAGAACACAGTAAGGAAGTTTGCTATCGAATTCTTACCAAGCCAGCAACTCACTAGGCCAGAAAAACGGAACCTGCTTTGTTAGGAAGTTTATCACATCTTATGTTATAAGCAGAGTGGTAAGCCTTGGCCATTAAACCAAGGTCTGATTTTCGCAGCGACTATGATTAATATGATTGAAGAAATCCTGGATAATTGAAGTAAAAATTTATCTTGACAATGTATTTTCAGACACCAACACAATGCCAGTCGATGTGAGCCACAAAAATGTGAGACAACTGCAGACTGCAAGGGAATAGAAAAAAGGCTAGAGATTGCACAGACCAGCTCCTGCGAGACGGCGGTTCAAGTCGCTTGCGTACGACAGTGTGGTCAGCTATGCCATAAAAGCACGAGCTCAAACAGGCACCGTGCGAAAAAACACCTGGGGATTGTTAACCCTGTATGTTTTAACGAAATTTAACACCCTTAGCGCAGTTTTGGCAAGATTTTGTGTGGCTCAAGTAAATAAATTACCAAAAGATTTTATAGCTACAGGAATCATAACGGAGACCAATTGCGTTTAGACTTGCTATACTGAGAAGATCATTCGGGAGTTTACATTCACAAGTCCTTCCAAAATGTATTATTATGCATTCTTACCAGATCGACACAGATGCATAACATCAATCACATGGTTTCACTGGCTGGAACTTATTCCAAATGTTGAAATGGTGGTATTTTAATCAAAAATTTTCTTTTTACAGCGTTACCATTTGGACTTGAATTTTTTATTTAAATTTAATTACATGAAGCACTGAACCTTTAATGAAAAAGAGTTTCAATCAAAAACAGTGTAAAACCCTGTTAAGTTTGCTTGGCTTGCGAATTAAAACGAACCCAATAGCGGGGGAATTTGGCCACATTTTCTAGAAAAACCTTTTAGGCCCCAAGAGAGCCGCCCGTGATGACTACCACTCCGATGTACGACTGACATTTAGCATGATTAGACAGAACTTCCGAATCAAGGCCCTGAATTATTCTGGGTGTCATGCAAACTCGTCAGATCTCTAAAAATGCACACAGTACTTTTACGATCGGTTCGCTTAATGATTCATTCAAAGTGACGCAAGAGCCAAATGTCACAACCTGAACTTACCAATTGCAGTTCCTCGAGGGTCCCGACCCAGTCATCCAGCTCTGTGAGCTCTGAATCCATCAAAGCAAATAAACAACTATATCAATCCTCAATAATCCGCGCACGTGCGAGACGAACGCACACTGCCAGCACCTATTATCGAGTGTTGTTCATCTGGAGGAACGACCTCGCCGGTAGTAGTGCGTGGTGGTCGGCGAAATACTAATGTGCAGTGCGTGCGGCTTGTTACAGCAACGCGAGGCTGTGCAGTAGTCCAGCCACAGTGGCTGTGGCGTCGCTCGTTCTGCCTGCGCGCACCCACACGCGTACCCTCACCCCGTTTCGGTGTGCAAGCTAGCGCTCGCCAACTGGGTCGCACGTGCGCACTCTGCAAGAGCGCGTGCACGGACAGCTGTGACGACCAAGCAGAAACCAATAGCTACACGATTTGTCAGGCCCTTTCATAAGTGTGCCGTCAACAGGTGCAAGTTTGGATGGGGTAGTTATACCTTTTTGCTTTCTCTTTGAGGTGTTTTTTCTCATGCAGAAGTGACCCAGTGTGACGCAGATACAATCTTGGCAACACGCGAGAACCTCCGCAGCCAACGCACCGCCACTATCCCCCAGACCAGTGCACCAAATATTTCAGGGCTTTACATCAATGGACAAATCCTTCTTTGACCCAAAATAGTGTTTTACAAAGACAATTTCAGAATAAGACATTGTTAGGTATTCCCATCCTATTACAGAATTTCGAAACACCCAACAAGCCTTCACAACTAAGTAAATCTTATTTTCCTACTCTTTTCCCCTTTTTCGTGCATTTTCGGAGAAGTGAAACCGTTTGTGACGCAAGCTACAACGAACAGTCCCTTTATTCTACCATTTAAAAAATTAAATCGCTTCCGGTTTAGAAGTTAGGCCTCTCAAAGGCTTCGATTTAAATTTTGAGGCCTTAGCTCAACTATGTGGAACCCATAATTTCATATTATAATTACTCAAATTTACCAAAGTTCAATCAATCTAAATCTACTAAAAGTGTTTTTAACAAAAGCAAACAAAATTATTTTGTGAGAATTCCAACTTAAGGGAATCCAGAATTGATGCAACCCGAGTTGGGATCAGCAATAAAAACACGGTTTTGGATTTCCATGGTTCTTCATCGTTAGGGATCGCATGGAAGTGAAAATACGGCTAAACTCCACTTTTTCTCGAGGAAATTCAAATTAGGACAGCCACCAAAGTTTCCCATGTAGTTATTTTCAAGCATAGGTTAAATATGAAGAGGAATCGTCTGCGGTCACGCAAGTGACACTTTTTTTCTTTACCGAGGCATTTATGCGAATGCAGCACATCAAGATAGGTATGGTGGTTTCTCTCAATAAATCATCGCTAAAGCCGAACAAGTTTATTTATACTTGATGGGTCTTCTACTGATTTGGACACAGCAAAAGCTACCTTAAAAAACCTTAAATCCAAACCTACTTGCGAAATTTGGTTGTTTCTTCGTACTTCAGGTCTCCTAGAGTTAAAACGACTGTTGCATAAACTGCAAAATCCATAGAACGAAATATCACTAAATCGAATCCAGTGGCATAATTGCTGCAAAATGCTTATATTTACTTTAAATCTGCTTGCCCAGATCCCTGCTTTTCACTCATTCTATCTTTGTATAAATTATTGTTTCATCTTTGTCCTAATATTAGGAAAATTTACTTCAATGTCAGCGTTAGTGAAAACCAACTTCGAAGTAGAGTGATGGGCTCTGATCAACTTCACAGAAGATTATATCACGAGATTTATTCAATTACTATCAAATGCAGGTCTCTAGCTTTTTTAGAGCGACTCACAGCCTAAGAGTGATTGTTATCTGCCCTCACGTAGGCAAGAATCGAGAAATAGAATCTAACTTAATTGAGGATTCTACCATTGGTTAAATACACAATTTAATACACTCCGGTTAAGGTGTCAAAATATACCTCGAAAAACCGCTCTCAATCGTAAACTTACACCCTCAGTAGTTGTTCAAGCCACCACGTATAAAATTCTCCACGGCCTGAAAGTTGGGTAGCATCCTGTAAGCCATGGGAACCAGACGAAACCGGTCAAATAAGCATTACCTCCACAGAAATTTATAGTTTGCTGCATGCCACAACCTCTATGTGAATATTAATGTCCGAGTTTACTGCTTTGGCCATGAGGTCAACATGTCGCCAAGTATTTACTTATCAACGGATAGTAAATCAGTGTTTTTTACTGGGAACTTGACCGTTTCAATAAATGTTACAGCGAAACCCACTGACATTGCCCATAACAACTTTGTCGCCTCTGTCAAATATCTCCATTGAAAGCATAAACACCTAATGTACACTTTGGCTCAAAAGGCCTAAGCCAAATCACGAAAATGGGTGATTTTCCCTAATTGATGTTTTCAGTTTTAGTATTTGTGAAGGTTAAGGAGGAACCTACCAGTGGAACTAAGGTAAGGTAAACCACTGGAATGCTCTGAAATTAGACGTTTTGACCACAAATCTTCATCTGGTATACTGTCTTGCACGTTATGCCCCCAAATTTGCCTAAAGAAAGGCAGAAAACTTGTCATCGCTGGCTTATTCATCTTCCTATGAAGTGTGCGTGTGGATTTATGCCACAAAAAATTAATAACATTGGCTGGAATCCATTCATGACATGGTTTAATTTGTAGTTCACTTTTGTACTTCTGTTACTTTTGTGGCGTTTTAAACTAAGACCGTAAGAGTCACCTGGTCTCGACACACAGTCAACTGGTCCTGGCGCCAACGTGCTCCAAGCCAAGGGAATAGCACAGTGCATGTCTTTTTGATAGATAGGTACGTTATAAGTCGATTGATCCATTAATGAGCAAACGTCGCCTCGTGCCCATGAGTTCAAATCCCATGAAAATTGCAAGAATACGTCTGGTAGCGAATGGATGACCATATTTTGTGTATTGTTAAAAATGTGATTAGATGTAATCGAGATTACAGTGTATTAATAAATGCCCCTTCGAATTATTTGCTTGCAGGCAACACCAATGAATTTAAAAAGTTTCTTTGTAAATACTTTCAGTTAGTGGGTTCCACAACAGGCAAAAAGATGACTAATTGCTGCGATTGTTTGGGCTGAGCAAGGCTTGCTATTATCGGATCCATTACAAGTTGCTGCAGAAGGTCAGGTGCGGGATCGACCATCGTTGTGTTTGAGGTGCGTGGACGGTAAAACATTCTAAGGAAATCGAGATGGATAAAATATTAATACTTTCTATGATTGAATGAACTTGATAGGTTTTTATGTGCGGTCTTTTACTCACAGAATGGCTTGTCACAGCACCTTAAAATCACTCATACGGATACTGTGAACAATTATTTGCAGACAAAAGGTAATTTGCATATGATTCAATACAGTGCATCGTGGGTTCAAGCGCAAGCCTGAAAATAACAGTATTATTTTAATATGCACGGTTTGAACTTTTCTGACACCCACCACCCAGAGCATTCAAACCGCATTTTAGTGCCCACCAGTATATTATGCGGGCATTCAAGTGGTGAGCCAGACGCTTTCGTCAGTCCAACAGCGACTTGCTTTGGCACGCAGCTGTTGCCGTGCATGGTGAGTGTCAGGTTTCCATCAGTCACAGAACAGAAGAAGAGCGCGCCGTGGGTGATGTGCATGGGCCTGCGTGAGTCGATTTGTGGTACCACCGACTGACCACCAGCTAGTGCTTATCGAACGGACCTGTAAGACGGGTGTCTTGACGACGGGAGTGGAGGGTGTGACGCAATAGCACTTAAGTGTTTACCCTGAATTCGCGGTGGTGCGTGTGGATGCATCATGTGCTAAGAGCGATCCTGGCGAACGGCACACACCGTTAGTTGGACGTGTGGCTTCCATTTTATTGTCATTTTCTAATATCCGCATGCCCAAACGTGTGTATTCGATAAGCGGTCATTCTCATTGATGACTGACGGTCAACGCCCTGGCTTTGAATTCAATTTCAGATCCAGAGGTAGCAGAATTATTCTGTGAAAAGTGGTTTCAGATTTTCTCCATTCTTAACACCGAGTTTGGTGGTATTTCTACTACTCTTTCACTGAGGCAATAAATATTTCATCAATTTTGCCGAAGCCTTTTTTTAAAATTGATGCCAAATGGTTTATAGTATGCCTTTACCATAACAATTTGTCCCAAATACCCGGATGGTAGTGCAAAACTTAGCATTTTTCACACATTTGTCCTGATCTGCAAATTATTTGTGGGCTTATTGAAGTCCACTGTATTTATGTTCAGTGAATAAAGCCATTTATTGTAGAATGTGATCTTGACCATGAAATTTAGTTCAATGAAAACTCCAACACAACGATTTAACGAATTTTCTTTCAACTTTCCCCATATTTACTACCTAAAGACATTATACAAGCATCTTTGAAGGTTTACAATCATATTTTAAGAAACTATAGCGAAATATGATACCAACCTTCTTTAATTTTCTATGCAATGCCAAATTTATTTATCTGAAAATGCACAAAATCAATATATTTCTGACTAGGCTTAGCATTTGAAACCGTATATGTATGGTAGAATTTTAATATTTTATCGACTTTAAAGCGACACCCCAGCAAGCTACGCACACGCACAACCGGCCCAGCAGAATGCACTGTGCTTGTTTAAGAGCACTACCTAACCAGAGACACAAAAGTTTGCAACTATTTAGAGACGATATTTAGCTTGACTGACCTGATCACTGTGTGCCATTTTGATCGTTGTTCATCAATTGAGGGTTGCTGCTTTCCATAAATAGTCGAAATGTTAACTTAATTTTAAACCTAATTTTGTATTGCATATCTACCCAGTCTCTTTCACACTAGGTCCCGGATATTCTAGAGCATAAAGGCTAATCAGAAACGTACAAGAATGTATTAGTGTTGTCAGCTTTGAGCAATACTGGATAGCGCTCTTCATGAGCACCGGTAAAATATTGAACAGATCCGAGTCAGCAATTTACCAATTGACATTGAAATTTTTTTTGATTTAACGCTGAGATTTAAATTAAATGGTCTTCTGAA